TTCCTGCATTCAACAAGGAAGGTCAAGGAGGGTGCAGAGGAAAAGAAGGAAGCAGACGGGAAGGTAAGCTATCCTAGATCACTAAAGGCGCGCGTTGCCGCGCCCGTCAATTTTTACAATAGGGTGGCAGGTAATTAGTGAAAAATATGTTAATGTAAGTAACAGAAACTGGGACGTTTTGAAAAGAAATGTAGGAGCAAGGTAGTACACATTACTTAGTGGTTATATTTACTAACCAAATGTAAGGATTTACATGAGCTTTCGGGAAACTAAAATGTATCAATTGTTAATGAATCTGATGATTGAATGCTTTCTTGAAACCCGGAGAATCAGCTTCACGGAAGCAGCAACGCCGCATCTTCCGCTAGCCTCTCACACTCAGAGCGATGCTTCTCACATGCTTGATGGAATCGTGTGGCCGCATCGCCCCGCGTTGCCTCCACATATGGTGTGACCACGTCGCGCGACCGCGTCTCCTCGCTGCACATCCTCCCATCTCAATCCCCTTCTCATCCTGAAACACTTATCATATGTTAAGGTAGAACAAAAGCAATGATTAAAAATAAGAACAAAAACTACTGAACAAATAAGGATGTGAAAAGGTTAAATAAATACCCATTATGCCCACCATTTCCCCCTTTGGAAGTAGACTTAATTTTGCAAAGGGTAAGTCTTGATCATCGTAGATCGAAAAGAATCAAACATCAGTGGTATTGGTTAGCCTGCCTAACTAGGGATCGAAAACTTAATTTTGGAAGTAGACTATTTTTTGGGATCTGGCTCCGCCGAACGCCACAAATGAAGTCTATTTATGGATGGTGTATTGGTTAGCCTGCCTAACTAGGGATGCAAATTGGTGACCTTTATGGTACCCTCTAAACCTAAGAGCATCTCCATCCGTTCGGTCCCCCAGTGGCTTGAAATAGCGCCTCCTGGGGGCTAACCGGCGATATTTTCGCCGGGGGGAGGGGGAGGGGGGCTCGGGTTCCCAGTCGGCCCCTAAGTTCGCCCCCAGCCCTCGATTTGAAACTCAAATTCAGCACAAATTCAACAAAACTAATTTTTATCACATAGTTCATCACAGAAATCAATACAAATCAAATAGTTCAATGAAGTAAGCTCATAATTCGAACACAAATTAAAACACATCGAACTAGGCGTTGCCCTTGACCTCCATAGGTGCTCCACCAAATCGTGCTGCAGTTCTTGATGCACCTGTGGGTCTCGGATCTACTGACGCATATTGAGGAAGGCAGCCCATGCTGCCGGAACTTGGTGATCAACAGTTGCAAGAGGACCCTGCCCAGGGGCGGAGCCCATTGGGCTGACCCTGATGCACAGGAATACGGGCCCATCTAATTTTTTAGTGCTACCTACCACCTAAAAAGGCCCTGTGCATCAGGTTGGCCCAACATCAGTGCATCAGGGTGTCCAGACTTCACGCACGCACGCCTCCGCAATGGGCCAATACAGGCCACGCACACACGCACCTGCTGTTTGTTCCCCAGCCCAAGTCACGTACGCACGCTGTAATCAATCGATCGATCAGTTTCCCGTGTAGACGTACGTGCGCGTACCAAGCGGCCGTGAAATCAATCGATCCATACGACCTATATACGCCTCGCGTACACAGGCGGCAGCGAACCGGCGACGTCGGACGCCGCAGGCCGCAGCACCACAGCCACACTTGAGTTCCGCGCGACACCTACCGCACGTCGCAATTTCGTCTTCGGCTGGCCCTCCTGCTCTCTGCAATTCGGCGACCTGTCCGAGAGATCTTCCGTTCTGTCTATAGATTGGATAGGAAGGAACCCCAATTCTGGTAGTGTCCTTGCCCTACCTTTTCTAAATCTTTCTACGAATTGCAAGTTGCAAAAGTTACGTGTATAAACTTGCAGCTGATAGATTAAATCCCTATGTATTGGCAAAACTTGGAGCATTTTTTAGGGTTATAAACTTGCGGCTGATAGATTAAATCCACTCTCATTTTTTATCTCTCATATGTAATTTGTATTTGTTATATGCAGATAATATTGAGAAGTTTCTTCTCAAAAGAAAAGCGCCATCACAAGATGTTTTGGAAAACATAATTTGGGGAGAGAGGATTCAATATGATCCGGGCAAGAGAAAATTGAAAGAATGAATGAAAAAGGCCAGCAATGCTCAAGTTGTTGAATATTTCGTCGCTCGGAGGTGTAGGATGTACTAAAGGTAATTTACAGGTTTTTAGTCATTTAAGTACTTTCATCCTAGCATTTTATTATGTTCGACTAGAAAGTTCAATTCTATTTTTATCTTGTAGGTTACTGAACCTTGTTGTCCAATGATGTATTCTGGAATTTGGAAATGCAAGACATCCATTTTCAGGTAATTTTGTCTCTCATTTTATCATTATAGTGAGCATTTTGATTGCTACATATTTTTTTACACATCGCCTTCTATTATGTCCTATAATATGTGCTAGAAGTTGTTAAACAAACCTTTATTCAATAGAAAGTTGTTTGAAAATTTTACGCCTTATTAAAGCGGTGCATCGGGTAACATTTGCTCCAGCTCCGCCCCTGACCCTGCCTGAAATATGGTTCAGTGTCAAACACTGGCTCTTCCTGCTCGCTCTCAATGAACATGTTGTGCAAGATGACACAACAATTCATCACCTCCCATATATGAGATTTCGACCAGGTCAGAGTGTGTACCGGACAACAGCAAATCAAGATTGGAGCACACCCAAATGCCCGCTCGACATCCTTCCTGCAGGCCTCCTGGCACTTGGAAAAGTAGCAGTTCTTGCCTCCTGGCACAAGGTTTGAGATAGTCTTCACAAATGTGGACCATCTAGGATAGATGCCATCTGCTAGGTAGTATCCCTTGTTGTAGTGGCACCCATTGACCTCGAAGTTCACCGGAGGAGCATGACTTTCAACAAGCTTGGCAAACACATTCGAGCACTGCAGTACGTTGATGTCATTGTGAGTTCCTGGCATACCAAAGAAGGAGTGCCAAATCCAGAGGTCTTGTGTGACCACTGCCTCAAGTACCACACAACAAGCTCCTTTGGCAGCTTTGTACATCCCCTGCCAAGAGAGTGGATAGTTTTTCCATGCCCACTGCATGCAATCGATGCTTCCAAGCATCCCATGAAATCCTCTTGACGCATTCTGTGCTAGGATCCGAGCAGTGTCTTAAGCATTAGGTGATCGCAAGTATTATGGTCCAAACGCTGCCACCACTGCCCTGTAGAACTTGTACAAACACTCAATGGTGGTGGACTCGGCCATGCGTCCATAGTCTTCTTGTATATCACCGGGAGCTCCGTATGCAAGCACCCTCATAGTTGTCGTGCACTTCTGGAGTGAGGAGAATCCAACTGTGTCGGTGCAATCCTTCTTGCAAATGAAATAGCTGTCGAACTCCCGGATGGCATTCACAATCCCGAGGAAGAGTTTCCGGTTCATCTAATAACAGTGCCGAAACACTTTCCTGCCGTGCAGTGGAGGGTCGGCAAAATAATCGGCGTAGAGCAAGCAATAGCCCTCCATTCGATGCCTCTGCTTGCTCTTGCGGCAGCCCGGCGCCGAGCCACCTCGTCGTGGCTTTGCAGTGTTCACGAACAGGCCGGCCAGAACGTCGAGGATCATGAGGTGCTGTTCGTCGTCTGTGTCGTCCTCGGCTTCCTCCTCCATCAGAGCCGCGAACGAATCCTCGTCATCGGAGTCCATCGCCGAACAAGCAAATCGCTGAACACCTAGCAGGCGTAGTGGGTGGGCAGCCGCCGGTATCCCCACCTGCGTGTTTGGAGTCCTAGAGAGCTCGTCCAGGAGCGGGATGGAGGATGTCGCGGTGAAACCCTCTCTTTTCGGAGGGGGGTGGCCTTTCTAGCGGCGAGGCAATGGCTATGGCGCCGGGATTGACATGCGGCGAAGGGGAGAAGTGGCGTCCGGCCGCTCGCGAGTCGAATCTAGGCGGGGGAAAGGTGTTTCTCGCCTGACAGTGGTGGCCCATGCACCACTTTTCGTTCCGCCAGAGTCCCCAGGTGCCCCAGTGCGCTGGGTTCGGTCTGGGATCGTCGGGCCATGAATTGGGCCAAACCGGTGGAATTCGGCGTCCTGGGGGCACGACTGGGCCATTTTTTT